GATCACTTAGCAAGGTCAAAATGCAAGTAATTGATGCAAATTTCACCACACGATCGCCATAGTTGGCCGGGTGGCACGCAAGGCTCGTGATATAGTATATGTTATGGGCGTATGATGCACTGGCCGTGTAATACTTATGGATGTGTAGCTTAGTGATAGTTTTTTGTATATTTTAATCTTTTATAGTTATTTTCTGAATTGAAATAATTTACGACTGTACATTCTTTGCACTACTTATATCAGTTACAAAAGACACAAAAGACTTTGGCTCGTCATCATCATTATCACCTATTACTTATCTACTGCCGGTTGAAGGCCTATGCAAGATATCCCCATAGCTCGCGTTAAACAAGTCCCACGACTTAAATTTCGATTTAAAGCTTTCGTGACTGCAGAGATTCATATTCTTGGTTCTTTCAGTAAAGTCACATAGAAGCGAAATAATAAAATAATAAAAAGAAAACATTATAAAAATTCTCACGACATTTCGATTGCAACACAAGCAATCATCATCAGGTGTGAAAACTACAAGAAAATTTTAGCTGAAGTGGGAGAGATTCTGTGATAAGGGGTTATATAAGTTAGAGAGGGGGAGGAGCAAGGGAGGGGGAGTAGGAGGAGGGTAGCATTGCGTGGAATGCTACCCTCCTAAAAAATCTTTCCAAAATCTTTCCAAATCGAACCAAACATTAAACTAATTTTCAGTGGTGCAGTATATTTATTCAGGTGGTGGCATTCCAAACTTCCAGGGTGGTGTATTATCATCTTGTGCTAATTCCAAGCGTTGTTAGTGGTGTGTTTTATGCTAATTTCCTTTGTCAAGGGGTTTTCTGTTTACCCCCTCAGCTTAAAAGGAGGCGACCTGCGCTTGACTTTCTTCACTCCAACGCTGTCCCCTGGACAGTTTGCCCCTTCACCTGATGAAGGCCACTTGTGTTGTGGCCGAAACATCGTGATTTTTGTTGTTTTATTTTTTTACCTACGTGACTTTACCGAATAGAACCAAAGAGTATGGATCCTTGCAGTCACGAAAGCTTCAATTCTAGAAAAGTACTGCTACTGTTGCTTTGTTGTCTTACATTGGCTTTGCTGCAGTGGCATTGGTTTTCTGCACCTTTCTAGCCCCGCCCACTTCCCCCCCCCTGCCCAGTAGTATTCCACGCAACGCTACCCTCTCCTTACTCCCCCCTCCCTTGCTCCTCCCCCCCCCCCTCTAACTTATGTAACCCCTTACAAAGCATCTCCCCCACTTCAGCTAAAATTTATTGCTGTAGTTTTCACACCTGATGATGATTGCTTGTGTTGCAATCGAAATGTCGTGAGAATTTTGATAATGTTTTATTTGTATTATTTTATTATTTCCCTCCTACGTGACTTTACCGAAAGAACCAAGAATATGGAATCCCACGACCTACGCAGCTTGTGGAAACGTTCATCCAGCAGTGGATTGACAAAGGAGCTGTCCTTAATTTAAAAACACTTGCCTCAGCAGTCGCCACGGTGGCGAGATGCTATCTCTCTTGCCTGGAATGCAGGAGGTCATGGGTTGGGTCCCAACCCTGACGCCTGCTGTATATTTGGAGTTTGCATGTTCTTCCCGTGGTCGCGTGGATTTTTTTCTCCCGGTCCTCCGGGGTTTTCCTCCAACTTTATAAACGTGATTTTAGATTATTTGGGTGCAGCTATAAATTCCCACACATGATAAGCCACTTCTTTGAGCTATCATTTGCGGCCGGGTTACTTCTTAAAACAAGAGCGAATAGCTCAGTGGGACCTTGCCTGGTAAATAAAATGTTTTTTTTTTGTTGAGTTTATTTTGATTGAGGTTAAAGAGGCAATCTTTGTTTCTGTGAGTAAGAGTTTGGCTGGACGGAATTGTGGTGTTCTCGCCACCTAATCTTCTTTTCTTGAGTGGTTGGTAGCGATAGTTCCTGGATTACTAGATTAAAAGTTCGAAAAATTATATTCGCTGGGAGGAAAATGTTTTTGTTTCCCCGGTGTGAACCGAGTTCTGGCAAACGGTGCAAAGGGAACGCGGATCCATTCCCAGCCATCCTACAGTCTGTCCACCTGGCTTCAAATCTGCCATGCCGTAAGTGGGCCTTGATGGAGAGGTTCGGGACAAAGCAAGGTCTCTGTGCAGCCAACCTTCACCGTTGGTGGGGGGAGGGGGTCTTCATTACAAGCTAAGCTGCAGCTGTGACACCTTACGTACGACGTCGCGTATTGTTGATGACTGTCTAAGAAGTTCAGCGGAGCTCTGCAAAAAATACTACACGTGCCCACCGGGGATGCTTATCACGTGGCTCGACAATTACGCACAAACACCGAATGAGTCTTTGCTTGGACGAGACCGTGGTGGAATGATTTGCACACTGGAGGATGTATTTATCGGAAGAGGTCACTGCGCTGATCTCCCGACACGACAATTGAAAGAATCGGCAAGTTTCCTAAATCCCTCTGCCTCTGTCCATCCCCGCAGGAGAAATGGGGAGGGGTACACCAAGGTTAGTCGGTCGACAGGTTTAGTGCGGCGATGTAACTTTTGGCTACTCCCTCCTCTTTCAAGACATTTGGCCAGTGTGGAAGAGTAGGCCAAAATATCTCTAATGGCCTCTCTCTATTTAGCATCGTCAAGTAGAGGCCCCTCTGCCAGAAGTGGCATGGGCAAGATATCAGAATCGTTATGTAGACTGGAGGAATTCGATGAGCTATGAAGCTCTTTTTCACAGATGTCCAGTATGGGCGGGTAGCAAGGCTGCACATTTACTTTTACCATCGACTCGTGTGCGTTTAGTTCGGTCATATTTAAACGAATAAACCTTAATATATTTTTTTTATTTTACCAGGCAAGGCCCACTGAGCTATATATAGCTCTTTTTTAAAAGCGACCTGGCCACATATGATAGCTCAACGAAGCTTCTCACCGTCGTGTGGAAATCTATTGCAGCCAAATACTCTAAACGCGTGTCGTTGATTTTAAATGTGGGAGGTGGGGGGGGGGAACCGGAGCACCCGGAGAGAAAAATCTACGCGACCACGGGAAGAGAGAACACGCAAACCCCAAACATGTAGGCGTCGGGGTCTGGATCGAACCCACGCCGTGACCCTGGCTGACCCCCCGGGCGGGATCGCGGGTCGCACAGCGGGCACTCCATGGCTACTCGTCGCCTGACAATGGGGGTGGGCTGTGCTCGCTCGCCCAAGCCGTTCGGCCACCCGCTCGTCCGCTGGCCTTTGTGCGTGGCCCCTGGGGCTGTGGCCAGCGGAGCGGGGTGCTGGAACGGAAAACACCTCCACGTTGCCCTTTGACCCCTGTGGATGGCGTTAAGCAAGCTGTGTACGTTTCAGCCCAGTGCTGTTTAGCAACCTCTGCCATTTTTTGTTTATACAAAACATTTTCATCATTAATTTTTGAAAAGTGTCCAAAGTCCATAGTGCACGGGCAGCCTTTGAGCTCAGCATGCCACTGCTGCTCAGTAATGCCTGTGAAATCCCCGTGTTTCGTATTGTACAATTTGTGTCTCACGTTTACACTACGTGCAGATGCAGTCCTTTGATCAGTTTTCCGCCGGATGAGGAGGCTCTTGAGGCCTCCGTCTGGATCATGAGTTATTTGACCCATACTTCACCACGCTAGTCATCATGGATTTGAGTAAAGCGCGGTTGGCTGTGTACGGTGCGAAAGGAATTCAGCATATGTACATACATGAAGATGGGGGAGCGTAATGGGTGGAATTGGGGGGGGGGGTACGGGGGGTGGCAACCCATCCTCCTCCCAAATTGGACACCTTTATTAATTTATTTGTAGTAGTTTACAATTCAAATAAAACAAATTATTATATCCACCCGCGATTCTTAATGTGAGGGACAAAGCGAACCCCTGCCTCCCCACGAAACATAGAAGTCAAACTCCGCCTACGGGGGAGCGTACACATGGCTCGGTACAACGATGGGATTGTACTGCGATACTCTCTGCCGCCCAGCGGTGTAGCTGGCGTAGCAACCGAGCGTGCAGGCGGTGCAACTACACCGGGGTCTCACACAGGCCGGAGGGGGGGGCGATGTCCGGGCACCGGGGAGGTTGAAATTAGACCGAGCCCGTGCCAAGCACGCCACGTCCGCTGCGTTTCTTGCCTTCCCCACAATGTCCCCTTCCACCCCTTTTGTGAGCCTTCAATAGTGGCTTGGCTTCATAGCCCCCCCCCCCCCCCGCCACCAAAATCACGAAAAGTTTTACTTTTCACCAGCGCAACACGATAGCTGCTGACCCACACACACACGCGCCCGCGCGCGCGCACCACAGCAAGAAGCTCACCGAAGAGGCGCGCATTAGGGATGAAAGAAGGGAAAATGTTTGCAAAGGGGGGGGGGGGTGTGGGCGGCCGGACCGACGGTACAATAACAAGCGCCAAAAAGTATTTGTGCGATTCAGAGCCGCCACTGTTGTGATACATAGTCACGGCCTCATTCTCACGTTCATTGATGGAACCGCGCTGCCGTGGCAGTTGCACGCAATCAGAAAGGTTGAGGCTTGTGGGGAACTTTTCGGGCGATTCAAGGTTTTAGTTGCACTTTATTGCAGCACACTTGTTAGGAGTGTGGTTCGTGTGTGTGTGCGTTTTTTTTTCTCGGGGGGCGGTGATGTAGCAGTTAGCGCACTGCGCTACGAGCCCAGCGACCCGAGTTCGATTCCTGCTCACGGTCAACACTGGTGACGATTATCTGGGACTCCCCTAGGTTGACTCAACATCAAATTAGTACCTGGTGCGGTGTGTAAATATCGTCACTGGGGAGACAAAGGCGGCCGGGCGTGGTGCTGGCCACCCAGCCACTCGTGTGGCATGCCGGCCTTCATAGATGCTCGCTAACAGCACTTGCCCCAGTAGTTTGTGAAGGCTATACTGGGGATCTTTGTCTGTATGGTGGGGGAGAAGCGTGGTGCAACTGGATAGGTCACCAAAAACACACGTAGGTTAAAAAATATAGCAAGACAAAAATATATACGATTGTTTTAATGCTTGTTTATTAAAGTTTTTTTTATATATCGTTTGCATTTGTCTTTCAGTTCAATATCTTTGGCAGCATTTGTTTTCTCAAAAAAAGACACCCGTCGTAGTAGCAGAATGACTAAAAAAAACCCCAACAAAGTGCTTCAACAGTAACAAAGCATTCCACTGCAAAGGATTGACCCTTGCCACCCCCTGCCCGAGCGATGCGTCTGTTGGCGGAGTCTCACCAGATGGTGCTTCACCGCTTGTCACAATGGGACCCCATTCGCCCGCCTTATATCCTACGTTCCGTACATTACAAACATGCGCTGTTTCTATATATTCACACAGCGTTGTGCACTTTAAGTGTACAACATACACATACATTACGTTGTGGCTATTTAAAAAAACAGATCTTTACAGCCCCGCAATAATTTTCTCGAAGTAGGCCATTGCGTGGCCAATGTCACCAAGCAAAATTGCGTATTTTAACACCCCCCCAAACAATTTATACAAAACGGCACAATTCCTATTCACAATGCCCCCCCCCCCGCCAGTGGGAGCTGTGAATGGTTATCGGCAGTGTCCTTGAAATCACGGCAGCGGATATACCGTACGCAGCATCCTGCCTTCACACCCCACCACCACCACCACACCCCCGCGTCTAATAGAGGTTTATTTGGGGGGGGGGGAGGGGGGACGAACTCCTAAAAGCTTTCCAAAAGCTGAAGGGCGATGTGAAAGCAATGCCCGTCTCGACGCTGCGAAGAAACGTCACCTGCCAGGCAGTCCCAGCCGAGTACTGCACACTAACAGAATTGACTGATGTCGCAAAAATGGATTGCGAGGTTCCAGGAAATTGGCTTGCGGTTGTTATTTTTTGGTGAGGGTATTTTTCAGCAGTGTAATTTTATCTTAAAAAAATATATATATATCAAATAATACTAATTTCCAGATGATTGTTTTCATTACCATACTTGTGAAATAAAAAAAAACTCCACTGGAAAAACTAGAGAGGATCCGATACATTTTTGAATGTATCACATGTCAGAATGAAAGTGGATTCCCATGCAAGCCAACACAGGGCGGTGCTTCATCTCCTACTTACATTCCCGAGCCAGTGGTGGAAATTCCACATTCCCATGGTAAAGGAGATCCACCGTTGAATTTCTACTAAGTGGCACTCTTTTTATCTACCTAGTTGGGTAAAGGATTGAGTCAACCCCCGACATATAAATAGTATGACAAACTGTAAATGGTCTTCATGGAAATAATTGGGATTTGTTAAGAAAATGGATATACCAGGCCACCCCCACCCACGATTAAGCTCAGTATTTTGAGGACACAAGCTGTAGTACAAGATGCGCAGTGGCGCTGTAATTAGCACATTTGGCTACGTACGGCATGAAATAAGTTAAACATACATACATACATACGTAATTCTGCTTTTCTCCATTTGTGTGTGATGTGCCCCCATCTATATTATCCGTTTACAAGTCTCTGGTTTGGTCAAGTGAGAGTTTGAGTGAGAATACTCGCCGTGGGCGTGTGGATGTATGAATACAAAATAAGGGACTAGTGGAGCGCCATAAACCCGGCGGCCTCGGTTCGATTCTTGGTCATATATGTATGGAAGTTGAACTTCTTTCGCACCGTACGTAGCCAACCATGCTAATCGGAGGTGCGGAGTGTTGTTAATGGCAAATGGTATCTGAACATATACTGGCGCTCCCCTAGCTTGACTCAGCCTTAAATAAGTTCCTGGTATGGTGTGTCAAAGTCAGCACTGGGGAGACAAAGATGGGCGTTGGTCACACTACCTCCTCTTTTGCAGAAACCGGTCTAAATAGGTGCTCACTAAACAGCCCTTGTCAAGATAGCCAGAAGACCAAACATGGCATCTTTGTCTCTGCTGTAGACTTATGAACCGGGGAAAGGACACATGCCGGTGATGAGCGTGCGTGTAAACAAAGCTCTTGAAATGAATTCACATGCAGTGATTAAATCTCACGAAAATAAACCCATGAAAATGGAGCTCGAGGTTCAATTCCCTCATTACCCACAATTATGACTTCAATACAGATGACATTAAATGCAGTGACGCCGATGTAAACACCAATTGAGATTCGCAATCGCAACGTATCGAGCATGACACAATTCCCAACCGGTAAAAAGCCAGATGACGGCTCGGGGGAGTGTCTCATTACTTTGCGATCTATAAAGAGGCCGCTAGAAAAGTATACAGGGAAGGATGCGTGACAAAATTCCTAACATCTCAAAAGTCAAAATCAAAGTGAATTCCTATTCCAAGCAACATGGGGCAGTGCTCAATCTCCCGGTTACATTCCTGAGCCAGTGGTGGAAATTACACAATCCTATGGACGGGGGGCCATTCTTATTATAGGACAACCACTGTTGAATTCCCACTAAGTGGTATCTATTTTATCGACCTTGATGGATGAAGGACTGAAGTACACCCCCCCCCCCACCGCCTCAACCTGCATTTGAACCGGTAAACTTGTAATAAAGAGCTGTACACTACTACATTCCTGCTGCTTAAATATATACAAAATATATATAACTGCATGTCGAAAGTATTTCGTTCAATCCTAAATAATACAACAATAAAATACGTTGTGTTGAATGTACCAAGCAGTTTTTTACGGTCACTTTTGTAACTTTTATTTTATAAAATGTTTAAATGTGGTCAACACGCATTTAATGCATTGGCTGATTTAAAAGGTACATGTTATATACACAAACTCTTATCGAGATGATGAGTCACGAACATTGACTCCAGAAAGCGAACTTTATAGAAACAAAAAATGACGTTAATGCTGCATTGGCTTTGGGCAAATATTTCATGAATGGATCTCACAGCCCACGCATTTGGGATGTCTTTGCTGAAGTCACATACCGCCGTCGCGAGTCTTCGAGGGAAGACAATGATGACGTAGACAATCCACCGCTCACATCACCGCTCACATCACCGCTCACATCACCGCTCACATCACCGCTCACATCACCGCTCACATCACCGCTGGATACGCATCGTTGTCGAAAGTACAAACAGAATCCGTCTGGCGACCCCAAACGCAGTCGTCAAGCGGATTCTCTAAAATCAACGTACACAACGTATGTATGGGTATAAACTCTCGGTCCGTTACTTAAAAATACAGTACAAGGGAACATTTTAAGGGTGGCTGCATCTTACTCTCACGGGGAAGGGGACGGTTCAAGTTGAGAGGCACTAAGGTGTGGGGCGGGAGGAAAGAACCCTTCAGAATAATCATTCTCCAGACCCCACGTCGGGCAGTGGAATTTCTCAAAAGTTCCTCAGCGAGTTTTCCATAAACTCACGGGCGCATTCACATTTCATTCGCGCCAGTGACCCTGGGGTCGTGGCAGTGGTGTAGTAGTCTGGTTGGCGTGGGCCCTGGTGCCAAGTAGTTAATTGGAGCCCCCTGTCCCAAGTTCACCCCCTTTTCATCGTAGCCTGATGCCTGGAGAACCCCTCTGGTCCGCGGGGGCTCCGGTGCCGTTGAACCCAGCTGGGTTTCAGGGTTGCCTCGGGAAGCAATCCGTGTCTGGCCACCGTGGCTGCAGTTTCTGCGAAGGCAATGACAAGTGGCCCTGGCGCGTCGGGCTGCAGTCCGGCCTAGACATCCCACGCCTTCCACTGGACACAGGCAACAGGCAACAGACAACAGAATGAATTCAAGTGTCGCACTTTGCCATTCATGGTTCGTGCAGTGAAGCAAGTAGGTTGCTGACCAAACTCCGGTATTATACGGATTGAGTGCTCTACTCTCATGTTGGCGGGTTTTCTGGGGGTACTCTGATTTACTCGGACACAAATGTAATTGATACAGGCAGAACCCTTGTAAAAACATTTCTTACAATGCAGTGAAGGTGCATTTTTTTGTTTATCATGAAGATTAACATTCAAATGGTCAAGTCAGAAGTGGCTGGGTTGCTCAGAGCACTGAGCTGGCATCCCGCACCTCAGATTAGCATAGTTGGCTACGTGCGGTGCGAAAGAAGTTCAACATATACGTACGTACATACATGTCAAGGAGATCCTGGTTTAAAATTAGATCAGGTCCTTGAGAGTTTATCCCAGTCACCAATGACTGCACGAACAAATCGTGATCACACTAAGTTTGGGCTTTCACTTAATTCGGATAATTTTCAACTCTGAACGAACAAAGAAAAATGTCTCAAATATCGATTTAAAGCTTTCATGACTGCAATGATTCATCTTCTTTGGTTCTTTCGGTAAAGTCACGTAGAATGATAATAAAATAAAAAATTGATAAAATAAAATAACACAATAATATTCTCACGACGTTTCGGCCACAACACAAGCGGCCTTCATCAGGTGAAGGGGGCGAGACTGTCTGGTAGGACAGCGCTGTCCTACCAGACAGGACAGCGCTGTCCTACCAGACAGGACAGCGCTGTCCTACCAGACAGGACAGCGCTGTCCTACCAGACAGTCTCGCCCCCTTCATCTGATGAAGGCCGCTTGTGTTGTGGCCGAAACGTCGTGAGAATATTAGTGTTATTTTATTTTATCAATTTATTATTTTATTATCATTCTACGTGACTTTACCGAAAGAACCAAAGAAGATGTCTCAAATATTTTTTGTGTAGAAGGACATTTTGTGGGAAGGTGCATTTGCCTGCTAGTGTGGATTAGAGGTCACTTGAAGTGACCTCAGAAGAATATTTCTGTAAACCCCTTTCCGTAAGGCCTTTCTCTATTATGGGACTATGAGCTAGCCTCCAACAAGAGTGCAGAATGGACCGAGCCTCATGACACAATGCGGACTGTGCAATTGGAATGCAATTGTTTTATTTTATTTTTCTACCTACGTGACTTTACCGAAAGAACCAAAGAGTATAGAAGTATTTACGTAAATATTCAATTAAAAGCAAAATATTGAATTAACGTCTAGATTTTTGGATGAATGGTCCAGGGTTTCCGTGGTGGTGAGATGTTAACTACCTCGCCTGGTATATAGGAAGTCATGGGTTCGATTCCGACCCTGTGCATGTATATTTGGAGTTTGCATGTTCTCCCTTTGGGAACATGGATTTTTCTCTGGGTCCTCAGGTTTTTTCCTCCAAATTTAGAAACATGCATTTAGAGTATTCGCTGCTATCAATTTCTACATGATAAGCCATTTCATTGGCCTATCATTTGTGATGGTCAGGTCGCCTCTGAAAAACAGCTACACAGCTCAGTGAGTCTTACCTGCTAAGATAGAAAAAATAGTTTCATCATTTCGTTTTCAATGGTATGGATGGTGGATTGCAAGTGGAGAAAGCGAATGAAACCCGACTCTGCTCTCCTGGTCATCATGAAAAAAAAGGACTCGGAATCAACGTGGAACGGACCTCCCGGAGCCTCTGGGCCTGCAGCTCGGCCTGCAGCTGCTGGCTCTGCTGCTGGAGCTTCTTGTTGGCCTCCTTGAGGTGCCCCATCTTCTCCATGAGGCGGCACAGCTGGTCCAGGTGGCACAGCCCCGAGCCGGGTGTCATCTCTCCTTCACACCGCATCTGGTGGCACGGACAAACACAAACGTCAGAGGGATGCGTACGTATTTCCTGCCGTGGCCGATGAAGCAGCAACGACGGCGACCAAGGCAGGTAAATTCGCGATCTATTCTTTTTTTTTGGATCGCGCAAGTAAAACGCGTTGTCGTTCACCCTCCTCCACCCGACGCAGCCAATTAATAAAATCATCACGTGAACAGACGTGACAACTTTATTACCGTTTCGGCAACACCATGGGTGTTCTGGAGAGCAATCCACAACGTTCAACAATTGGGTACGACCTTTCACTGGTAGTTCCAAGCCAGCATCGTCAGGAAGTTTCCATAATTGTGAAAATATCTTCTGGTCTTAAAAGGGTGGCCAAACCCCAAAAATGTCACACACTGCTCTCCCCAGTTGCCCAGGTATTTTTGAGCCACTTGCTACCAAGGCTAAATTATAAAAATATTACTCCAACTGCGTAGGTTTTCGCGGTTATGCTGTGTAGTTCTCTTGTATGACAGACAACACACGATTGCAACCCAAAAACACGTCGAAGATTGTTACTTGTGATTTAACTCACATCACACTCGGCCTTTAACTGGAATAAATCGTGCCCTTAATCTCCACCAATCGTGCATGCTTCTAATTACGTTAAAACGGTCTAACAGTAGGCTTAGCACGTACGGATATAGATGCAGCAACTTGTCAGGATGCAGGCTTATGAAATAAATATCCGAAAAAAATCCAAAAACACACACGACGCACACACACACGTGGCAGCGGCTCTACGAAGCGACTCTGCCTTGTGGCCCCCACCCCCCTGCACCAGCTCAGAGCCCCTCACGTCGCCCTTCACCTGGTTTAATTGCGTGTGGTTGTTGATGTACTCCTCCCAGCTCTCCACGCTGTTGAGGTCATCGTGACTCGACGCGTTCCCCCTCTCCATACTCCACGCGAGGGACACGTCGGTCGACGACGACATGCCGGACGACCCTCCAGTCTCGTCGGACAGAGATTGGCCACGAGCCCCTCTGTCCAGACGGCCTCCGAGATGGTCCCTCGCGCCGCCGCCCTCGCCGGCGCCCATCGCGACGTCTGGTGACGTCGTGCGTCTCCCGTCGTCATGCAGCGCGGCGCTGCGGGCCGATCGCCGGGACACTCCTGCCGGCGCCGTCGCCGCAGCCACCGCCCGGAACGCCGCGTCCGGCTCGGTTTCCGGCTCCGTCTCGTCGGACACACTGCTGCTGCCGTCGCCACGCCCGCTGCTCCATCCGGCAGACGCGCCGGGCACGAGCGGCGACGGCGGGAGGCTCTCCACGTGCGCCATCTCCACGCCCGAGTCGCACGACCGCCACTTGACCAGGCCACGCATGCCCTTCGACTCCCTGAGATGGGTGGCCACCGCCCCCGCCCGGACGTCCAGGCCGGGAAGCTTTACGGGCGCGGCTCGTCGGGCCGAGATGCCGGGCGCCGGCAAATTGGGCAGCACGGCGCTGAACGCGTCGAGCGAGCGGATCTTCTTCAGCACCACCCCGGAGTTGGATGTGCATCCCACAACGGCATCAGCCTCTGTACGATGGGGGAGATCAAAGGTCCGTCCCACCCTTTAGATGAATACAGATCGGCATCAAAGATTAGGCTAAGCTCTCTCGCGACAAAAGGTGTTAATGTGGCGTTTTGTGTGTGTGGTGTGTTTGTGTGTGTGCTCAGTGGTGTTTACTGAATGCACTTGAGCAAGAGTGCAACTGATGCCTCTCTGACAACAATGGGCATCCTGAAACTTTTCTCGAATGGGACACACTTTGTGAAACGTCGTCGTGCAGCGTTTTAAAAATAAAAAAGCCCCCCATCCATCAGCAACGCTGCCAGATTTAAAATTGTTCAGCCGCTCAGGATACGTTCATTATGGTTGGCGTCCAACGCCTGTTGCCAAAAAGTCACACATTTTAGATTTGAGAGCTTACGAGTGGTGGTAATTACGGGCACTTGAATGCGAAAAATTGCATACAGTTCCTCTATTTTTGCTTTAATACGTAAGCTTTTGATCTGCATGTGGACTCGTCTGCAATGGTTTAATTCTGCATCTCTGCTTGCATACTCTTTCCCCCCCCCCCCCCCCCGTAAAAGAGCCTCATTGTGCGAGACTGCGCCGAAATGTTGGCCGAATGCAAGGAGCTTAAACGCATAATTAATTTACTTCCCTTTGTAAATCCCCCCCGTCACCCCCAGTGGATGAAGGCCTCCCCCCGCAAAGACGGTGCCGACGGGGTTGTTGGAGCATACTTCACCACCCCAAAAATTAAACACACATCGATTGATGGAGGAGCATTTACATGTGCAGCCCCCACAGTCTGGAAAACTCACCCGCTACACATCCGACAAATCAAATTAATTAACTTATTCAAATCTGAACTCAAGGCATATGTATTTGTCCTGGCATAAGCTCGAAAATAGCCATTTACATTATTGTCCAACTGGCTTGTAACTTTTTGGCCACTCCGCCACCGCTCGAGTGAAGGTTCTCCAAAATCCGGCGAAATTTTGGGATTGTGGTCTGGGTCATGGAGACCAAACGGATTTATTTATTTTCAATCTTGATTTGAAGCTTTCGTGACTGCAGGAATCCATACTCTTTGGTTCTTTCGGTAAAGTCACGTGGGTAGAAAAAAAATAGATCACGACGTTTCGATTGTAACACAAGCAATCGTCCTCAGGTTGGATAGAGAAACAGGCTGCTGAAACAAGTCCTTATATATCGAGCCGAGAGGGGGGGAGGTTGGGTTGCCGCATCGGTCAAGAGGGTGGGGGCTGGAGATTGTGCCTAAGTGAGTGGGAAATCCAAAGATGGGAATCAAGATGTATTTATTTTCATTTCGTTTCTCTGTGATTATTTTTTCTAATTTAGTCTATTTTTTTGTCGTTATTTATGTATTCGTTTTTTTTATTTCCTAAGTAGTGTGGATTTAGTTTTGTATTTTTTTACAGAACTGTATAATTGATGTGCAGCGTTGTGGGATGCAATTGCATGAGTGACGCGATATAAAATGAAATTATTATCATTAAGATGGTCAGTGCATGTCGAGATTAGGAGTGGGGGAGAAACTCGCCCAGTTCAGATATCACTCGCCGCTGATGATGACTGCCATGGTTGGAAATCAAAACTCATGTCGTTGGGTTTTCATGGCACACAGCGAGCCAATCACTGCACCGCTACCCACCCCCCTTAAACATCTGATTACATCAGTTATCACGAGGGATGGTTCCACACGTTAATTAATGAACGCATGTATTCATTATTACATCATCCCTTTGACGACTTAATGTCTATTTTCACAAGAGGATCCCCTGGGAACGTTTTGGCCAGATCACCAACCTCGGGACAAGGGGTGCCACAGTGGGGAGATGTTAACTACCTCACCTGGTATAAAGACGGTCGTGGGTTTGATCCCGACCCTGACGCCTATATATTTGAAGTTTGCATGTCTCTCTCCCCTATGGTTGCGTGGATTTTTCTCCGGGTACTCTGGCTTTTCCTTCCACATTTAGAAACATGCATGCAGAGTATTTGGCTGATATAAATTTGCACGTGATAGGTCACTTCATTGGGCTATCACTTGTGGCCATGTCGCTTCTGAAAATATATATATAGCTCAGTGGGCCTTTCCTGGTAAAATAAAAATGTTTTAGCTTAGTTTTTAGAATCTCCCATGCATGCATGCATTAACCAACAGGAGGAGGCTGTGCTTGGCAATGTCTGACCTCATGGGATCAGCATAATAGCTCTGATTGCCCCATAGTCTCACGCATATTCCTGTCTCCATGCACGAGCATGCACATCTATTTAAGTAGCAAATTACCGTTTGCTCAGTGAGACTGCTTTCACAATTTCTGGCAATTTGGCGAACGGAAAAAAAAATCTGTAAAGTGGGATAAGAATATTATGTTTCGGAATCATGCATCTCATACAATTGCGACAACTCGGCTCATCCAAAAGTATAACTTGTGCCCCCATATAGTGTACTGCATGCGTTTTAACAAACATCTTTCATTACATGTCAGCCTATATCTGTTTTTTGTATTTACTTACAAGAAAAGAGCAACATTTTAGAGATCACTCTCCGAACAATATCGTTGTGAAAAAGTTGGCTCAGTTTGGCTTCAGTCTGTTTTACTTTTCACCGTACCATATATTTGGTCCAAACTTTGTATCTCACCCATGTATCCTGCCTCCAACCCTGATCTTTCACCCTCACCCTATCCAACAGTGCAGGTGGGAACAAATATTCATACTATATCTGCTCTACCCATGCGGGGAGCTACCGCAGTGGTGTGGCAGATAGCACGATGCACTCGTAGCCTCGAGGTCGCCAGTTTGGCTCAATCTCCCGGTGCGGCAGTTGAAACAATGGGCAACTTCCCAAAGTCTTCCCCGGCCTGTGTCCACCCAGCAGTACAAATGTGGGTACCATTGCAATTGGTCAATCGGCAGATCACGTGTGGTGGGGTAAAGTGTGGGTAGTTCCACCTCTTCCAAGAGTAGAAGAGTAGGCCAAAATATACCCCTCTACAGTGGCTCTTCTGTCAGCAGTGTGGTGGTGAGCAGGCAATTACAGGCAATTAAATGTAAACAAATATGCTAAGCAGAAAAGTGTTGTTTGTTGTCCTTCCCCGGCACCTACAATTAGCACGGTTGGCTATGTACGGTGCCAAAGAAGTTCAACATACATACGTACATTTAAGAACCTACTCGCACACCACTGGAGTCAAATCCAAATAAATCCCAATAGATCCCTAGATCCCTGGGAAAGTAATTGCAAGGCTGCGCCATTTCCTACACCCCGTGGTCGGGGGGGGGGGGGTGAGAGCAGCACGACCCCTACCATTGCGCCGTGCGCTCTGCACTCGGAACGCGTCTCTCCTGCGGCGGAACATGTCCACTCCGTCTCCCAGCGGACTCCCACTGCCGCCTGTCACGCACATAGACACACGGCGGGGGGGGGGGGGGTGCGGCAACGTCAGGGCCAAGGCATCCTAAAGACTCATATTGAAAACTCACTTCTTTAGAAATGCTTTTTGTGTTTAGTTTGTTGTCCTCCCCTGCGCCTCCAATTACTACGTACGGTGTAAAATAAGTTCAACATACATAAATACTTATACCTATGGTCGATACTTCTTAACGGCGGATATTATTACTATTGGAGCCCAGTCGCGCTGGTTTCAATCTCTGGTTGTGCACACCACCTTTGGCAATCAGTAACTGGTGGGTTGTTTTGACTGTACTTCACCACGATCAGAATCTGTATTTATCCTGGAGAAATCCCATGAGATATGAAGCTCTTTTTCACAGATGACCATTAGGGGTGGGTCAGAAAGTCACAACAACAAACAATACGAAAACACGACAGGAGTGCAGAGTACAGGAAAGGTAAGAAAATCACTAAACATACATAAAATAGATGCAGTTATATTGGTTTAAATTGCATAAGAACACCAATTTTCACGCTTGGGTAAGGTAGAAAAACAACAGCAACAACAGTTCCAGACCACACCAATACAACAGTCCCCGGCCACAGCAAGATTTGTCAGAGTAGACATCTGTGAAAAAGAGCTTCATAGCTCATCGGATTCCTCCAGTACAAATATTCCGACTGCTATTCTGAAGACCCACGGTGTGTCACTGTGGGTTGGTGAAGGTGGAACAAGAACTGGTGCCGCCTATGTTCTAGACGTACGTCAGACCTCGGAACTCGTGAAGTCACCGGAGCGTGCGCGCACTAACCACTGCACCGCTGCTGACACCGTTAACTTTTCGCATACTATTCATCCTACACGCGCAGCTGCTCCTGTTTTTTTGTGTGTGGTGTGCTGCATTCACAGAAAGAAAGAAAAAAAACCTTCCAACTCGGATCTCCCTCCCTGTGTAAGAGACATTCAATTGTGTACTCTAACCTGGCTATGAATAAAGAGGCTCGTTGTGTACCGATGTGTTTTATAACACAGCGAGGAGCGGCGGTGCAGTGGTTAGCGCGCTGCTCTGCGAACTTAGATAAACCGAGTTCAATTCCCACTCACGATCAATAACAGTGGCGAATATTTCAACTGGTCGAGGGGGGGGGCTCCTCTAGGTCAACTTGGCCCCAAACGCTACTGGCCGGCGTGATGCTGGCTACCCACTCCATAGTGTGTCGTTCCGCCCTTTATTATGTGCTCGCTAACTGCAAATTCCCCAAGAGTCTGTTGTGGGCTATACGCGAAATCGTCGACTGTGTATAGAACACACCTGTTGTGTTGCTTTGCGCAACATTGGGAATGCATTACAGTATATTCATGATTGAATAATTATTGATTATACGACTATGGAACGTACGGCATATGCAGTAATACACACGATAATTAATCATGACCGTTCACATTTCGCTTACCGTTGTATTTGAATTAATCGATGAACGAGTACTATTCATTTACTCTCAAGACAATGCACAGCACACTTAGTTTATATAAACAATATCAAAAATAAATGACTATATTGTGAAAGCAGGCTTTCCCAAAATGTGTTATTACACTGTGTAATGGGAGAAATTCCAGCGAACGAATATTGACGTGTTCAAATATGCTTCCTGTTGCTGTTCGAGTGCCTTGCCAAATATGGAATACGTAATACGTTTTTCACCTGATTACGATTACTTGTGTGGCGATCGAAACGTCGTGATATTTTTTTTATTTTTCTATCGACGTGGCTTTACCGAAAGACCCAAAGAATATGTAATACTTTTCCAGTGAAAAAATGGTATTTAACTCAAAGTCTGTGTTTATGCGATGCTTCCACTCGCACTGACCTACGGCTCGGGACACAATCGTCTGTCTTCGTATCAGAGGAGAGAAAAAAAACCCCACACACACACTCAACACATTCGTCAATAACACATTGTGGCATTGAAAGGAAAATAAATAAATATATAACATGCGAAGTATCGGGTCATTGTCCTTCATAGCGTGTAGAGAAGACAGATTGATCCAACTATTATCTACTCGCTCTAGGCCTCGATATGTGCAATAAAAGGGCCATTGCCCGAAACGTTAACCAAATATTGTTTTTCTTTTTAAGGCCACAGTATAATTGCCGAGTGTGTCGAGTGTTTTGTTAATTGTGTTACTGCCAACCTAGCAGCAGCACCCAATAATGTGCATCGCAGTAGTCAGTCGTAGCGCACGTGTGTGTGGTCTGTGTGCGGTATGTGTCTAAGGTGCTCGCTAACAGCACTTGCCCCAAGATAATGTTTAAAGGCTAATGCGGCGGATCTTTGTTTTGCTTGTCCGTGTCTGCATGCGAAGGAATGCGACTTTTACTTACTCGTTGTTTCGACCATCAAAAGCGGAGACTTCCAAAAGCGCAGCGCCTCTCCGGGTCACCGGACAACCCAAGTCCAAAATAATGCAAGCGCACCGCCTGTAAATACTAAAGCGGGAACGGCGCAGATGATTACAAGGACAAAAAAACCACACACCAAGCCCTGCCGTCGATATTCTCTCCGCGGGTTCACAACGACCAGCACCGTACTCCGTTGCGCTGATGGATAATGAGTTGGCCACACATTGTGAAATAATATAATTGCGGGTGATGGTGGTGGTGGCACGGGGCACAGAGGTTTTACACGCGGAGCGCCAACCGTGCGCGGGCTACGCAGCAACTAAAGTGAGTTTGAGCTCCGTGCGGAGCCAATTCAAGCGTCCGTGACGGTGGTGGGGTGGAGGAGGGAGGCACCAGGGAAGGTTGGGGGGTAGGGAATAGTTCTCTTTTGGACTGGGGGATGAAGATGGTGGGGAGGGAGAAGGCGGTGGCGGGTGTGGGGAGGAGGCGGGGGCGTGTAGTGGGGGGAGGAGGAGGCCGCTGTGGGGGGTGGGAGTGTGGGGAATGAGAAAGGCTGTGAAATGCGTGGCTCTATTATCTCGTTTAAACGGGGCAGTTGCGATGAGCGAACGTCGGCCCAAGCTGGCGTGGAGTCGCTGCGGAATGCATAATCGAGACAAAGAGTAACTCTGTCACAATGGCTTTTTCAAAGACATATATGCACACCTTTGCCGATCCACTGGTGGTTGAAGGCCCCCCTCCTCCTCCACTCGGTGTCGATGATTGGGGAGTTGTTTGACTGTTGCTTGCTGTTGCTCGGTGTGATGGCGTTCTCTGTTCGAACAGCACTTACCCCAACAGTCTGTTAAGTGTGAAGGCTATACGGGGATCTTTGTTGTTCCCTGGTCTGAAACTGAAACTGCCACTGGTGAGACTAGTCCCTAAAGAAGTCTGCCTCTGGTGTAGGCCAATCAGTTTCAAAGACAATGCCATATATTATTATCAGAGCATGTCTGTTTAACACGTAGGCTTTCGTGACCAATATTATTCATAAAGGTTTTTGGGTTAGATCGCGTTATTTATAAATGTGTCGTAACCCTCCACCACCCGACACGGCCAATCAGCAAAATAAAGTGTCATGTTGACAAAATACAATTAGTTCACTACTTTTCAACAAGGACACTCAATTGATTTTGATAACGTTGGAGTGTTGTGTAAAACTAATTATTACTGGCAAAGACTAATTAGAGAATCCATTGAAATTGAGAGAAACAGAAATAACTTTAATCGTTCTGATAGCTATAGGCTTAGTGCGGCTTGGAAGCGTATTATTAAATAATACATATTACAATTCCTTATAGGGGAAACATTAATTAACGGATTACTAATGTAGCATATAATCACAATAACACACATTACAACTAATTACTAATCTACAACTCATTACTAATCATAACCATTGACTGATTACCAATCGATTATATAATTACAATACCCCCCCTCCGCCTCAAATCACTGCACCTGAAATGAGTTAAATGATGACGTCACCCTGCTGCTCTATTTAAGACCGGGATCAAGTGAGGGCTTTACCATTCTGGCGAATTGCCCGATGATGCTGGATGTAATTACCAGCGAAACGTCGTATTCAAACTGTAAATGTTGTGGATTCACTCTTCAACACACCGGTGGGCTAAAGTAGTGAACTAATTGTCTTTTGTCAACGTGACACTTTATTTTGCTGATTGGCCGTGTCGGGTGGTGGAGGGTTACGACACATTTATAAATAACGCGATCTAACCCAAAAACCTTTATTATGAACAGCATGTTTGTTTGCATGTTTACCACAAGTACTGTGTGTGGTTAATGTAGTAATTGATTCCTTGGAAAAGGTTTCTATTTGGTGTTTGACAATATTAACACCTCCTGTTTCATTGCCAGGAAGGGTACAACTTTTTTTATACGTGGTGGTGGGTATTGGCCACCCCACTTCTTCGTGTGCCATGCCGGCCTTTATAGGTGCTCCCTAATAGCACTTGCCGAAGCCCAAAGCAATTAAAATTATACGGGGGATATTTGTTTTTGTTGGTCAAGAGGTTCCGATATCACTCAACCACTGATGTTAGCCGTAACCGGCAATCGAACTCAGTAGGCCAGGTGCATAGCGTTGTGCGCTAGCCACCACGTCACCTTCTCCTGGCCACATCGCGTTCAAAGCAATATACCACAGCCCCTGGAAAAATCTCAGGCATTCTCCCATCCAAGCATCCCAAACCCGAGGCTCAGCTCTGTGATTTGGGACCAACAAGTACGGCTCGTTAACTACGCAGGGAATTCCAAGTGAGGGGTTTACTTGACAACATGGACCTCTTGTGGGTCTGGCCAGTAGACGAACGCGTACGTGCGGAGAGGCACGTGCCGACGGACGTTCGCGTGGAATTTTGCCACGTGCTCCGAGTGTGCTGTTTGTGGGTAAAACTGCCATTGCCTGAGGCCAAATCACTCAGCAGAGTTGAGTATGGATATGTGCTTTGGATGGATGACCAACCATGCACAGCAAACCGGATTGTCGCAGGCGCCGGTGGACCGCAGTGGGCAGTGCAGCATAATATATTGCTGTACCGTAGTTCTATGCACCCACGTCGATGCCGTCACCGACCTACACCGACCAGCATCTGAAGTATGGTCAAATAACCCACACACGGCGAGGGGAGGCCTTCATCCACCAGTGGACTGACACAAGGACCATATATGTTTGTATATGCTTATACCACATATGTTTGCCACTTTGATTATTCTAATCTAAAGGCCTTCCAAGCGCCTATGACAAAACCACACTGCGCCAAATATTTTGAGCCCGGTTGGTACTCAAGTGGGGTTGACCATCAGGGCTTGCCAAATGTTGTAGGCGCGAGGCTGGCGGGTGGCCAGGAAATGGTGTGCTGAGCGCTATCCCCTCGGATGTGTGGGGGTTTCTCCGGGTAACCCGATGTCCTCACACACGCCAAACACCCATTAATGATATTGGCCAAACATCCCAACGCAAGACCCTCTTGAAAGGAGAAAAAACGTCTTGAGGCTGGGTAAGGCTTTCCTCGGTAATTAATTGGTGTTATCGCAGGCAACTAACTGTATTTGCCCATAAAACACGACGGACTAATATCCCTGTATCATCCTGTATCATCCATAATAAAGGTGCGTAACATTTACAATTGTTGTGGATTTCCTCTCAAACACACCGGTGGGCTGAAGTAGTAACTAATTGGCACGTTTTGTTTACGTGACAAACCTTACTGGTTGGCTGTGTCGGGTGGTGGCGGGTTTAACGACACAGTTATACTTAGACGATCTAACCCAACAACCTGTATTATGAATATAATATTGGTCGCGAAAGCCTACGTTTCAAACAAATACCTATATCACCTGCACATGCGGTTGGGGCAAGGGCTTTCAGTGGGCACCTATGAAGGGTGGGTACGAGCACACGTGGCGGTGGTGTGGCCACAGACCATGTCGTCCCGCCTTTGTCTCCCCAGAGCACATTTAAGGCCGAGTCTAACTAGGAGGGGAAGTTCAGGACCACGAGCATATACAGTATCAATCGCCACTCATGTCATAGTCGTGGCCGGGAGTCGAACTCAGGTTACATGGGGCTCGTGGCGGCAGTGTGAAAACCATTGCGTCTCACGGCAGTATTTTTTGTATTATTAACTCACTGCGCCATTTGTAAGGACAGAGTCAGTATATGAGCGGACGGATTCCGCTTAATTATTTTATCAATTGGCGAGCCCTTAGCGTGGACAGTTTATGGTGGAAATATTTGCGTAGGTAGGAAGTGGCAGTATTTAATACGGTTTGCTCAAAGATAGCTGGAATTCCTTCAGCCTACCTTCACCGCCCTCTTCACTCACTCGCGGTTGTAAAATGCCAATAAAATTCCAACGTTTGATCTGTGGGAAGAGGCGATTGAATGTGAGTGTTGCGAGTCATTAGCGCTCCTTATACCTAACCAAGTAGGGTTAGAAGGGGCCGCTTTACTAACAAAGACGTTGGAATTTATCCGGTGATGCATTTTTTTGTGAGCTGCCACAAATGTAGAATGTCTTCAAAGAAGCCTTACGCGTCACAGGCGTCCGCGTGTTGCAATACAATGAATTATAACACGCGTGTTTGGGCACGTGAAACGGACTGGATTTCCTTTTTTTTTGCAGTCGACATAATGACGCATGCTATTTTAATTGGTTTTAATCATGCCGCTTTATTACATTGAATTACCTATGCCGAGCCGTCCGTACAACGAGGCTGCATACGATTATATTATATGACTGACTATTTAAAGCCATGTATATTCATGCTTAATATAGACGTGGGGGGTGGAGCGGTGGCACAATGATTTGCTCAGTGCGCAATGAACCCAAGCGAAAGAATAAAGAGATGGACTGACTTTTTGTATTTTTTTCGTGGGAGTAAAAAAAAAGAACGAATTTAAGTCGACGTTTACAAATCAGCATGCTGAATCATAAGTAGAGTTAACATATCCATTTTCATTAATATCCATTTTCAACAAAAATGCGACCTTTAGTAACACCCTAATGTGCGACTGTGCTTTTATTAGTGAGTTTAGAAAACCAGAGGGACTGCGCACCGAGCAAAACATTACCGACAGTGGCGCACAAAGGTGGGATTCATTGTCGTTTATTCAAGAGCCAGGATAATTAAATACTTTATGAGCGAATCTGCCGTGAGCGGGGCTGCAATCTACTCAAAACAATGCAGCATTAGCTAGTGTCTTGCGTTCGGCTGGGTGTCTGCACAGTCTATATCCATCAGCGGGGGAGTGAACACGAGCATTGTGATTGCTCTTGCAATGGCCCTGAAGGTGCCCGCCCGCGAGGAGCATTGTGTAGAGCACGCATATGAACAGCACCCCCGCAACCCCATTGCTGGGGAAATTAGCATTTATATCTCTCCACTCCCCCACCTCCGCCTTATCCTCCTCCTCATCCTCCTCCTCCTCCTGTGACTTCCTACATCCTGAACTCATCCTTTCCACCACCACCACCGCCGCCAACCCGCACTCACCAGCGTGGCGAAGTATGGTCAAACGATTCCCCCATTTTCGAAACGAGTCGGCGAAGCCTTCATCCGGCAGCATATGTATGATGATCATTATCATCAAACTAATCATCGTAATCAGCCATTGTCTATCCACTGCTGGATGAAGACCTCCCCGAAGCCGTTGCCATCTCAGACGCGGTCTTGCGATGCAACGATCCGTCCAGATCCAGCATCGCTCCATCTCCACGGTGGACGTACCCAGGCGCTCGTGCGTGTTCCCCGGCCTCTGACTGCTACTCCGTCTTTACTATCGACCACCGATTTGGCAGAGTTGTAAACAATAGTACTGCGGTACGATTGATTATAGCTGTACTGTGTAGTACTGACCACCCACCCCCT